TTTAGAATATATATTTGTATGAAAGAATTTATTACACAGATTTGACCATATTGACTAGTGGAGGCAAGTTAAGCAGTGTCTGTGAGGGTATTGCTTACATGTCTGATGACGCTAGAGCTTGAAGTCTACAGGGAATGTAATTGGAAAAGGAAGATGATATAAAGTTGAGGAGGACAAGATTAAGCTAGAAACCACAAGCAACAGCTGGAGCCTATAAGGACAAACTAAAACTTACACCAGTTCCTTTTGACTCTTACTTTTATGGTATGGATGCCCTCCAGAAGCAAAGCCCTCATCACACAGAGAAACACATACACCTGGCCTGGGAGGCAGAGATGCTAAAGTGGATTTAGGCTGAAGTGATGGTGTAGTTGCTAGCCTGGCCCTATGTTGCATTGCATGAATGTGGTGCACCAGCAGATGAAACACAATGCATATGAGATACTTAATGGCTGCTTTTTCACTTGCACCCTTCAGATCTCATGCAAGAATCTCTCTTGTGGCCCACACCAGCATGTGATGTTTCCCATCCTGTATGAAAGAAAACATACAGGAACGGGAATTCTGGAAAGTGAAGTTTAACTTAGGCAGTTTGACACATTTCCAAAACCAATATAGCTTTTTGGCATGATAAAGTTACAAGTGAAATATGTATTAAGCAAATAAATGAAAATCTGGGGGTAAGCTGAGAGATGGACAAGTGGATGCATGAATAAGTGCATAGGTCTCTGGATTCTATACAAAGGCCATTTCTCTGCTAGTCTTCTTTGTGAATGCTTCATCATAGATTCAAGTCATATGTATTTCATGAAACAATGTAGGATTGTCATTAGAATCAATAAAAGTGAAAATTAAATACTAACAGGATATTTATTCAAAGTTTGTCATTAAAAGACTAGCTTTAATATTAAAATCTAATCTTTACTGAGTATTTATTTAGTTATGTTGATAATCTGATTTAATTTTCACAACAAGGTATAAGGTAATAATTAATGTTATTCCATTTTTAATATGTAAACTGAAGCTTGGAGAGACCAAATATTAAAATACTGCTTTATCTAATCTTCTGTGATTCTATCTCTCTTAAGAGCATCTAGCAGTGATGGAGAGAGGCAAAAGGTAGATCTGGTGGATATGTCTGCAATAGAAAACATTAAAGAATTAAGAAATTTTGATCTCAGACATTTATCTCTTTCCTTTTCTCTTAATATTTTCATTTTGGAAATAGGTATATATGTAAATTAATATTTATTTATTTATTTATTTACTTTTGAGAAAGAGTCTCGGTCTGTCATCCAGGCCATAGTGCAGTGACACGATCTCAGCTCAGTGCAACCTCTGCCTCCTGGGTTCAAGTGATTCCTGTGCCTCAGCCACCTGAGTAGCTGGGGTTTCAGGTGTTTGCCACCACACTTGGCTAATTTTTGTATTTTTAGTAGAGATGGGTTTTTGCCACATTGGCCAGGCTGGTCTCAAACTACTGACAACAGGTGATCCACCTGCCTTAGCCTCCCAAACTGTTGGGATTATAGGCCTGAGCCACAGCACTTGGCCTGGAAATTATTTTTGTTAATTCATCTAAAAGACAAAAATTCAGCTTGGCTTCAGGGTCGTTGAGAAAAAATTTATTATTTTTTGATTTTGGCCTTTGTAAGCTGATATTGAAAAAAGTACTACTTTTCTATTGAGCAATCTTACTAATAGATATGATGAATTCTCTAACATGGTGTCATCTTGCACACCAACATCAAAGCAGGGGGTTAGATGTGTTATACGCAATCCCAGGTCAAAGAACACAGGGATGAACACAATTTGGGTGAAATTATCTGATTAATTCAGCAAAGGAGTCTGTGATGGTTAATTTTATTTACTCAACTTGACTGGGCCATGGGATACCCAGATATTTGGTAAAACATTCAGCGTGTTTCTGCAAGGATGTTTTGAAATGACATTAACACTTAAATTGGTAGATTGAGTAAAAAAGTTTGCCCTCCTTAATGTGATCTGCCCTCTGCAATGCCTTCCCAATCAGCTGAAGGCCTGAATACAATAAAAAGGCATACTGTTACCATGTAAGAGAGAATTCATCCTGCCTACTTGCCTTCAAATTGAGACAGCAACTTTTTTCCTTGACTTTAGACTCAAAATAAAGCATCAGCTCTTCCTGGATTGACCTTGAGCCTGCCTGCTTTCAGACCGAACTTTAACATCCTTGGCTCTCCTTGTTCTCAGGCCTTTGGACTTGACCAGAATTTGATACCATCAGCTCTCCTGGATCTGCAGCTTGCCTGCTCAAGATCTCATCGCAGATCTTGAGACTATGTTAGCCTCCATAATAGCATGAGACAATTTGTTATAATAAATAAATAAATATATATCTGGTTTGTTCTGTTTCTCTGGAGAACCCTGAATAATAAAGATACATAACCAGTTCATTGCATCCTTGGGTACTCAAGAGTGATGAACAAATAGGCTCCTAGGAACTATTTCATTTTGTACATTTTGTTTAGTAGGATTCAAATTGTATTCCCCAAATAGTCAAAAGAAAAAATATGCAAATAAGAAGTTAGTTTCATCTACATAAACATATTTTGAGTTTACTCAATATCGATTTCTCTTTCTATATTCATTAGTTCATTGGAATAGCTCAAATTGAAAACAAAATACAAATGGATTTTATCATTATCAGTTGACTAAAGGCCATTTGGAATATGGATTGCCTAGATTCTCTTAAAATTTTCTAACTCAACATCCATTTTCATACATTTACAGAGGACATAAAAATCATCAGAGTGAAACTGATTTAACAAGTTGTGTATACAAATAAGATTTAAATGGTTATCCAAACAATTTTTCAACAGTTTCAGGACAATTCTCACAAAAGAAAAGCACTTGTTTTGGCATTTCAGATTTAAGCAAATTTCCTCCTGTAGGGTGAAAGGATTAAATATTTTATTTTATTTTATTTTATTTTATTTTATTTTATTTTATTTTTTAGAGAAAGAAAAAAGAATAATAAGAAAAAGAATAAAGAAGAGAAAGAAAGAGAAAGAGGAAGAGGGAGAGAAAATGGGGGTATTTCTTTATTTGCCCGGGCTAGAATGCAGTCTAAATATGGGCATGCCTGTAATTGTGCTTAATAATGGAGACATGAAAGAAAATGAGAGAAGAGAATAACAAACTAGAAGCCAACCAATATTTTGTTTAAACTTCTAAGTTCATATGATGTGGTATTAATAAGAGTGTATATTTTGTGTTTTTAAAGTGGAGAGTTCTATACATGTTAATTAAGTTTACTTGTTGCAGACCTGAGTTCAAGTCCTAGATATCGTTGTTAATTTTTTGTCTCATTAATCTGTCAAATATTAATGTTGAAGTCTCCCATTATTATTGTGTGGGAGTCTAAGTCTCTTTATAAGTCTTGTATACCTGGGTATTCCTGGATTGGGTGCGTATATGTTTAGGATCTTCAGCTCTTCTTCTTGTTGCATTAATCCTTTTATCATTATAATGCCCTTCTTCGCTTCTTTTGATCTTTGTTGCTTTAATGACTATTTTATCAGAGGCAAAAATTGTAACTTCTGCTTTTATTTATTTACTTTTGCTCTCCGTTTGGTTGGTAAATCTTTCTCCATCCCTTTGTTTTGAGTCTTTGTGTATCCTTACGTGTGAGATGGGTCTGAATGCAGCATACCAATAGGTTTTAATTTTTTATCCAAATTGCCTATCTGTTTTTGGATTGGGGGATTTAGTCAATTTAAATTTAGAATTAATAATGACATATGTGAGTTTAATACTGCCATTTAATAATTGCTGGCTGTTTTGCCCATTAGTTGATATAAGTTCTTCATTATATTGATACTGTTTACTTTTGGTATTTTTTTTAGAAAGGCTGATACTGTTTGTTCCCTTCTATGTGTAATGGTTCTTTCAGAAGCTCTTGTAAAGCAGGCCTGGTGGTGATGAAATCTCTGAGTGCTTGCTTATTCACAAAAAAACTTATTTTTCCTTCACTTATGAAGCTTAGTTTGGCTGGATGTGAAATTCTTGGTTGAAAGTTCTTTTATTTAAGGATGTTGAATATTGGTCCCCACTCTCTTCTGGCTTGTAGGGTTTCTGCTGAGAGATCTGCTATAAGTCTGATAGGCTTCCCTTTGTGAGTAACCTGACCTTTCTCTCTAGTTGCCCTTAGTATTTTCTCCTTCATTTCAACCCTGATGAATCTGACAATTATGTGCCTTGGAGTTGCTCTTCTTGAGGAATATCTTTGTGGTATTCTCTGTATTACCTGGAGTGGAATATTATCGTGCCTTACTAGATTGGGAAAATTTTCCTGAATAATTTCCTGAAGCATATTTTTCAGCTTGGATTCATTCTCTTCATCACATTCAGGTACACCTATCAAGCGTAGATTAGGTCTTTTCACATAGTCCCATATTTCTTGGAGATTTTGCTCGTTCCTTTTATCCTTTTTTCTCTAATCTTGTCTTCTCGTTTTATTTCACTGAGTTGGTCTTCGACCTCTGATATCCTTTCTTCTGCTCGATCAATTTGGCTCTTAAAACTTGTGCATACTTCAGGAAGTTCTCATATTGTGTTTTTCAGCACCATCAATTCACTTATATTCCTCTCTAACTTGTGTATTCTTGTTAACATTTTGTCAAACCTTTTTTCAAAGTTCTTAGTTTCTTTGGATTGGGTTAGAACAAGTTCTTTTAATTCACAGAAGTTTCTCATTATCCACATTTTGAAGCCTGCTTCTGTAATTGGAACACACTCGTTCTCCATCAGGCCTTTTTCCGTTGCTGATGAGGAACTATGATCCACCGCTGAGGGAGAGGTGTTCTGACCTTGGGTATTCTCAGCCTTTTTTGGCTGTTTTTTTTCCGTTCGTTATAAATTTATCCATCTGTGGTCTTTGTATTTACAGTCTTTGTAATTGGGTTTCTGAGTGGACATCCAACTTATTGATTCTTAGAGTTGAAATCTGAGCAACCCACTGTGCCGACTAAAACAGCGGCAGTAAGATTGATGGTGCTTTTCTGACTCTGCACCAAGAACCGACGCTCCAAGGCACCGGCAAAACTGCCTCGCTGGTCACAAGAGTCGTGCTGGCGACCCGTGGGGCTCCTCTGCTGGGAATTTCCTGGTGCGTGAGCAGCAAGAATTCATCTGAAAGTGTGGCGTCCTCGGGTTCTCTGCGCTTTCACTGGGAGCTGCAATCCCAAGCTACTAGTGATCAGCCATCTTGGATCTCTCTTCTTTTTTTTAATGCCTGTGCTATTCCAGGTACTGTACAGAGTACTTCACAGTGATCATCTTTGGTTAATTAAGCAAAAGTTCAATAAGTGCTTTAACTTTCAGGTTTGTACTCAATAAACTAAACATTTCACAAAGCTTTGCTGCCCAAGGCATTTCCCAGAACATAATATAGTGGGTACTCTGTGATAACCTATGAGTTAATTGATTGATTCAATTCAATCTAATAGTTACTGAGTATCTACTTTGTAACTAGTATTGTACCTGACACTGGGAATACAAAAATAAACCAACTTGAATACCCACTCTTAGGACCTTGAAGTCCAGTGCAAGGGTCAGATGTGTGAGTAATACAGTACAATAAAGTACAAAATTACTATGGATATGGGATTTGGGGAAGCACCTTGGGAATCAAGAGCAAAACAATAAATTCTCATTGTATTTCTATTTAAGAATTCAGGGACTTTTGCAGGAGGAGGAAGGAACTTCCCACAAATGGCAGCAGGATAAAGAAAATGCAAATGCTTAGTGAAATAGGAACTGTAGACCAGAGTAGGTTACAAAGGATGGTGGTTAGAGTGGCTGGGAAGAAACTTGGCCATTGGGTGAAAGGTAAAGTTGAAATGGTTAGAGGTAAAGTTGAAATGGTTAGACAAATTGTAATTGTGAATGATTTTGAATATGAAGCCACACACACAGAATTTGATTTTCATAATGGAGACACAAAACATTTGAAACTCTGATTTTCATTAGTTTTGATTTTAGGAAGGTAAATGTTTAGGAGAAAGGTGTCATGCAGTGCTGAGCAATGTTCATGTATTATTTATTTTTATTAGATGTTTCTAACAAATACATGATAGAAATACTATAGTCATTTCCTTTTTTACAATATATATATTTTTTTAATGAGCCTTAGAGGTTAGATATTATTGCCTTACTGGTGAAAGACAAGCTCTAAAGCCTGGTCTGAGAAGCTGTTAACTTCTATAATATCAGGCCTTTTCCAAGCTTCTAAGATGGATTATATTGTCAAATGGACCCTCATGACCACTAAGGGAGGTTCAGATATGTTGTGGATGCCATATTTCCTACCCAGTAGAGCACCATAGGTTATAATTAGGCATTACAAACTCTAGGTCATAAGAAACTGAAATTATATTCAATAATGTCAATTAGTTTGAAGACAGAACTGTATTAATTAACCAGTGATCTTTTAAAGGTACCTGACTATGAACTAGAACTAACCATTAATTTTCTTTAGTTCAAGCTTATTTTTCTAACCTTGTATCCTAGAAGAAACTCTCTAAAATGTTTCATAAATAAAATAATACATTAACTGATATAGAAATGCAATGTGGAAAAAAAATAGAAGAGAGTAAAATGGAAGGAACTGGAGACAAAGATTATGGAGTGGTTTGTTCCTGAGTCAGTTGCTTAAGATTTCTTGTTATCCACTTTTCAGGTGAGCAAATGGATAAATTGTTATCCATTTATGGATATAACATTCATACAGTAAACTTTCAAATGCTTAATGTGAAGAGCATGTGGAATCATGTATATGAAATTGCTTTGCAAACTTTTGTCTCCTGGAAACATTTCCTTTCATCATCATGATAACACTTTGATTAAAATCCACTTTCAACCATTGAAAATGAGATTCTGTACAGCTTCAATCTGATGTTAAAATTCTTATTTGAAAAAAGATCAGAGATGGTCTTCAAAATGCCTACAAAGTACCACACGTCTATACACAGCATCAACATATGAAGATTGAGTACTTATTTGAGGCTGTGCCAAGACTCTCTTTGACAAAGTCATCCTTAGACTTCACAAGGCATCAACATTTCCTGTGAAAATACAACAAAGGCTCTTTTGTAGCTCAGGAAAGCAGAATTAAAAATGGAAATAGCCAGGGTCTTTCTTTCATGTGTGTGGTACTGTTGGTGGTGGTGGTACTGGTGAGGAAATCTAGCAATACAGCAGTGAAGAAAATTCAAGGACAGTGATTATAATTGAATGAAGGTCCACAATCACGAATTCAGTACATTTAGTAAACAAAAATATGCAGGTTTATTTCAGCAAAACCAACCTTTTAATGGAGCTGGGAAGCATAGGTGAAAACCATCATAATTTAAAAACAGGAAAAGAATCCAAGAAGTAGAAAAACTTGTTGGTGTATTTCCTGAAAACATTTCAGTCTACAAGAGAGTAAACTCAGGTAGAAACAAATATATTCCAAAATAAATATTTGAAAGAAAATAAAAATATTTTGAAAAGGTAAACACTTAGACTGTGGTGGTTAGTAAATAAAACTACACAACAGAATTGATGGAAAAACATAAAAATGAGTTACATTTTATATGGTAGCCAAAAAGAGCACTGGAAGTTGAACCAGTTGAACTCTAGTCCTGAGTTGGTCAAAAACTAATGTGGGGCTTTGAACAAATCCATTCTTCCATATGCACCTCTGTATCATTACATATAAAATGAGGTGATTGAAATAGGTAATATCTAAGGTTATTATGATTTTATAAGTCTAAGCAAAACTAGAATAAAAATCCTACTTGCTCATCAAAACCAACATAGAGTAGACTTGTTTACTGATGTGGTATCAAATGTGCTGAGATTTCCTGCCCTCAGAAATCACATCCTTATCTCATTGATGTTTCAAATGCCTTAAAAAGGAGGTATTGGTTTGCTCATGCTGATGTAACAAAATGCCACAGACAAAATGATCTTAAACTGTACAAATGTATTTTGGAGGCTGGAAGTCCAAGATCAAGATATTGGCTGGTTTGGTTTCTCTTGAGGCCTCTCTCCTGTACTTGAAAATGATCATCTTCTCACTATCCCTTAATATGGCCTTTTTTCTTAGTGTATGCCTGTGCAACCTTAGTGTTTCTTGGTAAACCCTAATCTTCTCTTCTAAGGACACTAGTCAGATATGATTAAGACTCATACTATGGCTAATTTTAACTTTATTACTTTCTGTAAGGTCCTACCTACAAATGCAGTAACACTCTGAGATACTAGGGGTCAGGACTTCAATATGCAAATTTTGGGAGAACGCCTTTCAATCCCTAAGAAAGGAAAAAGGTTTTATTTATTTCTTTCTCTCTGCAGTGAGAAAGTATCATTCTCTTATGCACATGGCGTGCACTCACATAGGAACAGCCCTTTCTTTAGCACTGATTCTGAATATGTTGGGCACGGAAGACAAGAGGCACTGAGGAATGGAAGATGTGATGCTGCAGTATGTGGGAAGAGAGACTGAAAATATAAAAGCAAAAGTTGCCTACTACATTCTTCAGAGATAGTCCATGAAAAAAAGACTGTAAGTCATGTAAACGCTGTCCTTAAAGGCCAACATGGCTGTCTCAAGGACAGGTGTTTGGGTCGAAGTTTAAGAATCAAAAAAAAAAAAAAAAGGAAAATGGGAAGTGAAAGGGAGGGGAAAGAGAAAGCAAAACAAATAAAAGCTGAATTGAAAACACATACACACAGGAAACAAAGTAGCTCTCCAGTTGTCTCAGTCTACTTGGGCTGCTTAATAAAATACCATAAACTGTGTGGATTGAACAACAGACATTTTCTGGCAATCGGGAGACTGGAAGTCAAAGATCAGGGTTCTTTAATGGTTGTGTTCTGGAGAGGGCTCTCTTCCTGGCTTAGAGATGGAAGATTTCATCTTGCTGTGTGCTCACATGGCCTTGTCTTGGTGCTTGTTCCTAGGGAGAGAGAAGGATCTATTGTCCTCTTCTTATGAGGCTACAGAACCCATTAGATTAGGACTCTACCCTTAGGGCTGCAATTACCTTTACTTTCTAAAAACTCAGTCTCCAAATACAATCACTTTAGGGGCTGGGTCTTCAACATATGAATTGGGAGTGGGGGAGTGGCAGTTTATAGCACCAGTATTGCTGACTTGAAACACATCCAAACATTACTAAATTTTCATTGGATTGCCTCCTGGTCTTCCAGTTATAGAGATGGATGGAAAATGGTTTTGTTGCTGCTGTTGTTCAAATATTTTTTTTAGGCAGCTTTGAGTGAAGACCTGGTGAAACAGGAAGCTGGATCAATAATGCCCTAAACATGTGAAGAACCACAGGTGAAATTGATCCTCATGGAATGAGAGGAGCTAGAAGTATTCATGCTTTTTCTCAACTACGCAGTTAGTTTGAGGACTACTTGCAGTTCCTTTGTTAATTTACCAATCTGCCTTTAGAGGAAAACCAGCTTTAACCTGAAAATCTGAATGGGAGCAAATGAGATGTTTACCTAGTGTGTATAAATAAACACAGGGCAATCTGATTTATTCTGTTTATAAAGAAAACTAAAGAAGTAGGTTCTGGAAAGTTTTATATTTTCTCAATTCTGAAACATGGTAGGAGACCAATTATAAGAAAAGGAGTTAGGTAGAATCATACCTTATTTCTGTTTTCTCTATTTTATTTCCATTAGTTAACCCCTGATTTTCTAAGCATTTTTGACACATGAGAAATTTCTGTATGTCAAATACTCCACAGAAATCCAACAGATTGAAGAGATGCTTGTATTTATCAGAAATACACTGTCCTAAAGTATTCCCTTTATGAAGTGGCTAAGTGACATTAACTTTGGAACCAACTTTAAGATATTCCTGGTTCTGTCATTTACTTGCTATTGATCTCAGTCAAGTAACTTGAGCATTCTTTCTCTTAGATTTTATAAATTGGATACAGTAATACTGATTCAGAGAGTTGTTATGAGTATTCAATTAGATACTAACCTTTCATAAAATGTTATGGAATTGACAAATGTTCATTGCTCTACTATTACTGTTAACTATTGCTAATATTACAATTACTATTGCTATGATTACCATTACAGCAATTATGATTATTACTACATGTTATAAAGAAAAATTTTCTACCATTGAGCCTATTCTGGTGGCTCAGTATGAATTAATTTCCTTAGATCTGGCGTCCCCAAACTTTTTACACAGGGGGTCAGTTCACTGTCCCTGAGACCGTTGGAGGGCCACCACATACTGTGCTCCTCTCACTGACCACCAATGAAAGAGGTGCCCCTTCCTGAAGTGCGGCGGGGGCCAGGATAAACGGCCTTAGGGGACAGCATGCAGCCCGCGGGCCGCAGTTTGGGGACGCCTGCTAGATTCTTATACTTGTCTTTATATTTAGAAATGTAAAACATGTTTCCTATCATCAGAGTTTCTAAGCATTTAGTTAGTGAAATCATGATAAATGCTTCCCAAAGCCCTTTGGGAAAGGAAACCGAAGCCTAGACAGAACCTAAACATATTGTTCGAGGTCTCAGAGTAAAGGCAGCGAGGCTGACACCAGAGTTCCATCACCAGATTAGAACATTCAGCTCACCCCTCTCAGCCCCATGTGTGCTCTGAGAACCCCATCACCCAGACAGCAAAGGACATAACTGTGCCAGATGGGGTCAGAGTTATGACAGCCACCAAGAGACAAACCAGGCCAGTGAACTTTGGCCCCATTAGCACTGGACTTTAACCAGTTCAACCCATAATTTCTCCACAGCCACAATCCCCAAACACAAAAATGAGCAATGGCTAATGTGGAGAACAGCACAGGGATCCAACTCCACATTATTATTATTTTTTTTCCAGAGACAATGTCTCTTCCTTCCTCTCCAACATAAATAAGGCTGAGGAAGATGTCGCCAGTACAGAGCGATTTTAGACTTGTCTACAATAGGAGTGCCCACATTTCCAAATTCACTCAAAGTGCTTGTCATAATATATGTACAATACAGACTCTGGGTCAGATCTAGCTTGTGAGGTTAAATAAAGGTAAAAGCTTAAGTTTCTGGTATACTGTACATACCAGAGATGCCACTGCAATGAATTTCATGACTTTCTGGAGAGAATTGGCAACGGAAGCAATCACTGTACTGTAATTTTTGTGTTATATTTGTGCGTTCCGTGTCTTAACTCCTGCCTATAAACACTGAAAGGAAATCATAAGCACAGTTAATGACATATTATATGTAAGTCCGGTGTTTCCTAAAGGGCATTCCCCAAGGCAGTTGTTCAAAGAAAATTTGGAATTTTCCATCAGAAATCCTTCTGGTTCTCAATAATGATCTCACATGACCTGCATTCCTGTGTTGCTTTTTTTTTTCTTTTGCTCTTTTGATACATATTGCACTCTTCATTCTATGGGAAATGCTATTTCTCCAGAGCCCGAACTTCAGGCTCAGAAATGCAGGGTAATCCTAGGAGGTTAGTAAGAGATCTTCTGCTGGAATGTATTTGATCTACAATATAGCCTGGCCAAAAGACATCCAGATTGCGAGAGCAAGGCTGGGGACTGCTCAGCATCAGAATAGACCAGAACTCAGCACTCTGGCCTTTTCCCTTCATTCCGTGCAGGATAAATCACATATCCCAACCACAGTGAGGGCCGCAGTTTGCCCACTAAATTTGTTTCCTCCTAGGCAAAACTGACAGTTGAATGTGATAAATGCGAGCCAATGTGACATGTTTTAAACATACAGGAGATTTTACCATTTCTAAAAGGGAGTAGATTTTCAAGTTTACTTCCAATTGTAAACTTAGGTTGAAATATTTGTCTCTGCCCATTGAGTATTCCAGACTATTAGTTGATATAGACCAGCATGGGAAAGACATTGGACAACGGGGTCTCAACTTTAAAAGATTCATATATTTGCTTCAAAAATGACTTTCATACAAATATTCTAACTATTGAAAAGCCACCCTCCCACCTTTTCTTTTTAATGTATCCCTTTAATGTGTCTCTCAGGACCCCAGAGCTGGTTTTTCTCCCTTTCTTGTGTAACTCCATTGTAATTGCCAAGATAAACTCCCTAGAATTAAAGAAAAAAATATTAACGTGTAAACTATTTTTTCTGGAGTGAACATTAGTTTTTTCTTACTTACCTTGGTAAATCATCATCATATGTAGGGAGAGTCCGATTCTGTAGACTCCTATCTTGGATGAATTTATTTTTCTTTTCTTCAGTGTCTATGTCAACAAAATGGGAATAGTACCTTTATGAGTTATGTGAGAATTAAATATGATAACATATGTAAAGCACAAAATTTATTCACTCAGTAAATATTAGATATTATTGTTAGTAGTAGTTGCACCATTAGTTCCTTTCAAAGATTTGAACTTAGCACATGTTATATTTTCCTCTTACATTTGTATCTCTGTGTATCTTAGTCATACAGTAGCAAAATATTTGCATTCCCTGGAAGGTCAGCTTTCCCTCTGGACAATCTGACACTTGGTTTCCAATTAAACTCATTAAGCACATTATCCATTAATCATATTATCATTAGATTTTATGTTTTCTGTTAAGCACATTATCACTATATTTTGTACTTTCTGTTGCTATAATAGAATCCTTACTTGGTATGTAACGTCTTAAAAGGACATTGTCTGAGGAGATAACTGCTTCCTTTTCTGGGGATACGTTTGCATCATGTAAGAAAAAAGTCTGATATTTCTATTAAAATATTACTTTTACATATATTGTTTAAAAAAATGTGCTTTAAACAAGAAGAGCATCAAATCCCTGGTCTTGAGGCTTTCAGATGTGGACTGAGCCACTTCTGGCTTCTTTCTTCCCAGCTTGCAGATGGCCTATTGTTGGACTTCACCTTGTGATTGTGTGAACCAATTCTCCCTAATGAACTTCCTTTAACATACAAAACAAACCCCTCCTTGGATATAGGAACAGATAAACTTGGGAAATAGACAGGTTAGAGTCTGCATACTATCCAAGTATAGATTTTTATATGCAGATTGAATTGAATTGGATATGCTGTCAGGGTACTAACAGGAAATGGATGTAAGCCAAAAGGGACAATGAAGAAGGGTTTAATAATAGATCTACTTACAACCCAAGAGCAGTGGTTAGGGAGCGAACAAGAAATGATACAGCAAGAATCAGATTGCTCTTACCCCATCTCAAAGAGAAGAATCCAAGGGAGGGATAAGCGTCAGGAGCCCCGACAGAGCAATGCATCTTGGAAAAGTCTGCTGGACAGGGGCTGTAGTCCTTCAGCCATCTTCAAATTGCCACTTGGCCCAACGGGAACTGAGGTAATCAATGCTCCAGGCTCTTTCCTTCCACTCTCCATACTCTGCCAGGGTGTCGCATAGGCCAGATGCAAACAGACCTCTGAGTCCAAGGAAGTTTGGATAATGCAGCCCCACCCCACCCCCACACAGGACAACTTCCTCAGAGGTTACAGTAAGGTGGAAAGGGGAATAGTGACCTAGACTTGCAAATTTCCTACAAAGTCATTTTTGTTTCATTTTTGTAACTTTTCCCATGTCGTAGAAAAATCTTGAAAGGTGGTTCTGGAAACAAGCTTCCAAGAACCCCTACCAAATTAGAAATTCAGATTGTGTGCATTAAAATGAACAAAAGGCAAGGCGTGGTGGCTCACGCCTGTAATCCCAACAGTTTGGGAGGCTGAGGAGGGTGAATCATTTGAGGTGAGGAGTTCGAGACCAGCCTGGCCAACACACTGAAATCCCGTCTCTACTAAAAATGCAAAAATTAGCTGAGTGGTAGCGGCGCACGCCCGTAATCCCAGCTATTCAGGAGGCTGAAGCAGGGGAATTGCTTAAGCCTGGGAGGCGGAGGTTGCAGTGTGCCACTGCATTCCAGTCTGGGTGAGAGACTGAGACACTGTCTCAACATAAATAAATAAATAAATAAATAAATAAATAAATAAATAAATAAAATGAACAAAAACAGCAACGAGTTACTTTTTCTATTTAGAAGAGTTTTGCCAATTCACATTAAAGACAATTTGAATTAAGCTGGAATATCCCCTTCCTACATGGTTTTGGTTTCTTTGTTACTTTTGACTGACTGGTTTAATTGTTCTTCCTCTAAAACAGTGATCTCCTAACTCTTTGGGCTATAAACTCTGTCAATTTAAAGTTAAGCATGCATTCCCAATATATGTGTACTTATTAATCAATAACATATTTGTGTACATAAATATATCCACTGTTACAATATGCACGTTATTAAGTACATGAAAACAGAGACTAGAAACAGATGAGATAAACCCTATAAAGAGTTTAATTTTTTTCCCACACTGCAAGGCATACCTTACCTATTTGACTCTTAGCTTTGTACCTTTCACTCTGGAGAGCCACTTACAAGACACCTGTGGTTCCACACCTGATCCAATGGCCATTCTAGGCATAGAATTGTTCTACCCATTAAACAATTTAGCAGCCAGTTTTTTAAAGAGAGAACATATACAATAAAATTCGTGTATTTCTGGATGATCCAAAGATGCTAATCAGGTAAGTTGCATTTGAGAAATATGCTAAGTCATTGCAAATTGTGGTCAACACACACTTCATAGCATCCCTGCAGAGCAGATGCCATCTTCTTTTCAGAAAATAGGAAACTGAGTCATGGGACGTCTCAGTAACTTGTTCCAGATGATTTTAATCCGTCATGAACCCATGTTTCCTGGGGTCATAGTTTAACATTTATTCTCAGGGTTACCAGGCTTTCAGCTTAGACGGTTTTAGTTAGCAGTTTTCTATAGAAGAAATTGATGGAAGAAACTGGCATCTGCAGCAGAGAAAGATCTCCCTGGGAAAGGTGTGTCAGAGTCTCCTAAGAGAAATGGCTTGCTCAGAGAACTGCAGAGAGACGTCTGAGGCATACATGGCCTCTGGTTTTGGCCTTTCCTGCTAATGCTGAGAGATTCCAGCTGGAAGGTGAGTCACCAGAGCCAGGGAGTATGTTTATCACTACCGTTGCCCCAGCACCTGAGATGGTGGCTAGCAATAGAAGGTCCCAGTAAAAGTGGTGAAATGAATAAATGTTTACTTCACCAAAACACGAATTTATGTGTCTTCAAAGCAGTAGCAAATTTATAAATCAGAATTAGGGAATTACCTTCAATTTGTAAAAATGTATGATTTTTAAAAAAATGATCTTTAAAGATCATGAAAACTACCCCAAAAGCATCCCCTTTACTGTAGTTAATTGCAACAAAGGAAAAGAATTCTTGGCAAGTAAGTTCACCTCATTCACAGCTTTCAACAGTTAACAAGGTACAGTTCAATTCCATTTTGCCTCCAACTCCTTCTCATTAAGCTTGGCTCAAATTCAAGCCCCCGAGACCCTCCCACTGTCCCTGAATGGTCCCGATGTTT